GTCGACAAGATGTATAGTATTGCATTTATGTCATTAAAAAATAAACAATTTGAATTTTATTTTATTTCCTCGTGGATCTAATAATATATTTCTATTACTACTATATTCCACCGAACTCACGAGAATGCATGTCAAAGTGTTCAATCACGATTCAAGTTGGTCCTAGTTTTTTTTTTTCTTTCTTTGTTAAAAGATAAATATTTCATTAGAAATGAATAAAATTTAAGATTACAAAGTTACTCATGATCTTAGAGCATGAATCCACAGCAAAAAAAGTTAAAAACGTGGAGACATAGTTCATTACAATTTTCAGTCTGACCACTTGACATAGACTCAAAGGTTAATTGAGCAGATCGAAGATGACGATGTATAATGTTCGAGTTGGTGGATTTGTTTTGTAAAATTATCATGGATTTGTTTTGTAAAATTATACTCTAGTTCAATTTTTGCTTCACTTATTAAGTTTTTTATACTGGTATTCAATGTCGTGTCAAGGCTTATAGAGGCTCAAGATGAATTAAAAAAATGAAACTTTTTTTTAGCGGTAGTTATAAACCATATTTAAAAAACACGTTTAAATAATCTAAAACCAATAAAAATATACTAAAACGTTAACAAGAAAGGAAATCTATGACAATTTTGATTTTTTCTTATGAATTTTTTTACCAAACTCTCGTAAACGGTTTATTGAACTAATTTTATTTCTATAGATATAACTAATATTTGAGAATTGGAGGTCCAAAATTTATATTATTTGGCGTCCTAGACGAAAACTTTTTTTTTAACATTATAGGTACGGTTGTGCTGATATTAACTATTAATTTTTCGTTTGATCGCTTTAATAAATAAAAAAGTTATGTTTGATCCGTATTAAATTTGGTCTCTAATACAAAAAAACTATTTTAGATTTAGTGTACGTTTTTTAGAGGTTCGTTAAGCAGGCTGAAATTCCATATATATATATACATATTTCAAGATTATTTCTTATGAATTATGAAAGGAATCCATTAACAAGAAGATAATAATGGAAAGGTAAATTGTGGAAACCGTCCAAAACATTTCTTGATATTTATAAGATGTTTTATCGGAAAACTCTAGAATGACATATTTTAAAAATTCTAAAAGGAATACGAAAAGTTATATATTATAAAAATGATAAATATCCAACCTTTGGTATTTATTCTTCCAAAAAATGCAAAAGAACAATTGAACACTTGTTTCTGACTTTCTGTAAAGCAATTTAAAAAAATCTTCTGAGCTTTTTCGTCATCTACAAATTTCGTTTATTTTATATATTCGGGTTTAGGTTAACTAAAAGTTTTGGCATTTAAAGTCTATCAACAAAAGTGAATATCTCTTTC